CACTAATATAAATCCTTATTTCATTTGAATATTGTGTGAAGTGAAATATGTTAAAAGTAAAACCTTTAATTTAATTATTTTAAGATACGTAATATTAAGCGTGTTAAAAGTTACATATTAAAGGCATATACGAGATTTCTTAGTTCATCTAATATTAAGCATGTTATAAGTTATTTGTGGTTGTTTTACATGATTATTTTTTATTATGTAGTCAAATAATATATTTATCATTACTTTGATAAGTTTAAAATTCTCATAAATTATTTTGTTGGATTTTTTTTAAATGTGGATCGTTAATTATTTTTCTTCGCCTTCTCAATTCCTTACTCCATTGATGGCTAATTATAGTTTTTTTATATATGAGATAATTTGTGGTACAATATTATTTCAACATTAGTAATTCTTAGGCTTTAGATCGTTAATTATCCATTTTATTTCTCCAGGAATTGTAGGACGAACCTTCACTCGCAAATTCCAAAAGACCAAATTTTTTGGTTTTTCATTCATGTTATTTTGAATATTTGTGATAAAACTATGTCACAAAAATATTTAACTAAATTTAATGTCGATATACCCTTTTACTTTAAAAATGAATTTTTTTTCTTCTAAATAGCTGCCCAACAACAGTTTAAACTTTAAATAGCCGGCATATATATAATATATATGTATAAAATTTATGTATAGTCGGTTGAAAAAAGTAAATAGTGAATCCTGTCGGCTTTCTGTGAAAGATCCCTTTAAAAATAAATTTTATATAAACAAAATTACTATTTAATTGTTTTTTTAATATTTTAGGACTTTAAAATCAACTAAAATTTATGATTCAAAATATAGTTGCTGGACTTATTTTATGCCATCGTAACTTATTCTTTTTAAATTTGTCAAATTTAATTCATATAATATTCTTATTAATTAAAGAAAAAGAGAATGTCTTCTATTAGTTAGGTGAACATGGTAGTGTCTTTTAGAATGAACTTGAAAAATATCACATACCCACACACACAAAAAAGTTGAAAATAGATTTTTAAGAAAATAAAAAAAAAAAACTTTTAAATCTTCAAAGGTTATGTGTTCTTGCTGAAACTGAAAAGAAAATATGATAATTTGTGAATTTGAGGTGATGAAGTCATAGAGCTGAAAATGAGTTTAAGCTGAATATACAAAAAGGTAAATATACTAAGGAATTCTATGAGACAGATTCTCTTATTTATTGAGTTATTTATATTAGATCAATATTTATCAATTTTAGGAGTTTAAATTTTTATTTTATAATGCAAATATAATTTTAATATACTATTTATGTAATTTTTTTTAAAAAAAAAATTATTCATCAAACTGGGTTACACGTGCAAAGCGCGTACTCTAAAACTAGTATCAATAAAAGAAAGAGTTCTGCTTGCATAATTCTTGCCTAAAATATCTGCAAAATAAATCTCATTAAATGCAGACTGATGGCAAACTTAATTAGGAAGCAGCATAAATAAAAAATAAAACACACATTAAAGATGCAAAACACAACGGTAGCCTACATATAAAGAAAGTTTTCCTTTTATAACTTTCAATCAGAAACCTAAGAGAAACTTTTCTTTTCATAACTTTTCCTTTTTAGCATACGGTATTTATAAACTGGTTAAGGCTGCGTCTAGGGTTGGGAGAAGAAAAAAAACATAAATATTTCTTTATATATTCTCTTCGACAGGCTGAGAACTTGGAGGTGGCCATAGATTCTGTGTCAAAATATTTTTGAGAAGGATGGAAGAGAAAAGTGTGGATGCAGCAGTGGATTACATATCCAAATTGCCAGAGCCAATTTTGCAGAAAATTATGTCTTCTCTTTTGGCTAAAGAAGCTGCACAATTAAGTACATTGTCTAAGACTTGTAATAGTGCTTGGACTTCTCTTTCTTACTTAAACTTTGGTTATAATTTTTTGTATCAATCAGAAAACATAACAAAGCTTGTGAATATTGTGGATCAAATTATAGCAAAACGGCAGCAGCAGAAGATTTCTATACAGAAGTTCTGGCTAACATTACCGTCTAGTGAATGGAGCTCTTATGTCTATAATTGGATTGAGACACTCGTAGCGCTAAGCATCAAAGAGTTGGTTTTAAGTGTAGATGCACCAGATACACCTTTCTCTGGTTGCAGCACTTTGCCTGAAGCTATCTTTGCTGTCAAACACCTAAATATTCTTGATTTACGTGGATTTAAGCTTCAATTGCCCCCGGATGGCATAAAGTTTTCATCTTTGAGAATGTTGCACCTCTCCAAGGCACTTTTGGGCGAGCATTTTATTCGAGTTTTATGTGAAAGCTGCAATGGCTTAGAGGATTTAACTTTAAATGAATGCCGCAGACTATTCAGTTTACGAATTACAAGAACTTTACACAAACTGAGGAGGGTTCGATTGACTCGTCTTTTTGATTTACGCATGGTTGATATTGTGGCACCCAATCTTGAAACTACTCACATTGGCATAACTGCTTGCGAAGCATTGAAAAGATTGTATCTCGAAGGTCATGTTTTCCAGTCTACCCAACCTTGAAAGCTTGCACCTATGGAGATGCAATGGATTGAAGACAATCAAGATCACAAGTGACCGACTTGAGGTTTTTGATGTATCGTTCTGCTGTAATCTGATTAATATTGAACTGGATACTCCCAACTTAAGAAGATTCACTTATGTTTGTATTAATCAGCTGCCTACACTCAAACTGAAAGTTTCACCTTTGCTAAAAGTTTATCTCTACTTGGGAGTGGGAAAAAAACTTGATAGTCATTGGTACTCTAAGCTCGCGAGATTTCTTGGAAACTTCAAGCATTCAAAGGCTATTCAGTTATTGTGCAACAGTGAAAAGGCGATAGTTATACCCAAGGACTTGAGAAAAAACTTGGTTCCTCCACTCTTTGATACTGATTGCTTGCGTATAAAATTTAGAAGTTATGCAGATAATTACTCAGTTTTGGACGTTCTTGATAGTTCGCTTTGGATTTCTCCTCAACTGGACACGCTATGTTTTGTTCGAAGTAATCTAGGCTTGAAGAGTAAGCTGAAGTTTATATATGAAGATGAGAAAACATGTTGTGCATCTTTGCCTTTGAAATATTGTTGGAGGCATAAGCTGAAGGAAGTCAAAATGGAAAACTTTACATGTTCGGAGCAGCAGGAACTGCGAAACTATCTTTTCAAAGATGAAGATGCATCAAAGATGGTTGACGTATTCAAGAAATGCATCCTAAGTCCAAGATTTCACTTCAATAGCTTTACTTTATGCAGAAGTTTCATAATTTCTTGTGTCTTGTTGTGTTTAGTGGCATATATATGCTACATCATTTGACCTTTTGTTCTTCTCAGCCTTTAATTCAAAGTTATTTTCTAGCTTGATTGATTCTACATCGCACTCATGTCTACGCAGTTAAATAGTTAGCAAGGGCAGCAAAAGAGCGTAGTATTGCTACATTGTGAGTACAGAGCTCAGATTGAACAATTACTGTTATTGAAAATGCTAAAGATTGATTAAATACTGATGAAATATTGAAAACTAGTTAAGAGAAATAACGATTCACTTACAAAATTTTTGCGTTTTTCATAATCTCTCCTGGCAGTAGTTTTGCAACCCTATGGATAGTAATAGACAACACTTTCCGGTTGTACTCCAGTTAAACCAGCTGAAACCTGGCTTAAGCTTAATACAGATGACAGCAGTAATGTGGGAAATAATACTGCTGGTATAGTAGAAATTATTAGAAAGTGATGAGATAATTTGGCTTTTATTAAATCTCTTCAGTTCTGTACTGACAATTCCTTAGTAGTTCATGTTGGGGAAAATATAATATGCCGCCCAGGAGCAATATCCACGATAAATTACAATAACATTTGAGAATAATAACGATACCAAATCTTTTAACAAGGTAAAATACAATACCCAAGTGGAGCAATATTACCACTATAATATTACAACTTAGTAGTGTCAAAAGACTACTACAACTTTAAAAGTAATAATACTTTTTATTTTAGATACCTCGCTACAATATTACTCACACTCACTATTTATCTCATAGACCGTAATCTATGGATTACTCTCAGCCTTCTGCTTCTCTCGTTTTGGTGTGTTTCAGAAGAGAAATAGAACCTACAATATGTGACTACTTAATAATACCGTTTTCACCTAAATGCTTGACGAAACACTTTTTAAAATAAATAAAAAATATTTTTGACTTCCCGGCTATAGTATCTTCCCTTACCAAGTGAAGATGACTATATACAAAGAATTCATAGGATCCCAATTTAGAATGATTATGGTGCCTTTTTTTTTAAAACTTTTCTTGTATCCTTTTATCTGAGTCGGTTATCTTTCTAGGAGCTCTTCTTTTATTCTTTTTTTCTCCCTTCTACCTTTCTCAGAGATTACTATGTTTCTGTCAGCTCCTAAAAATTAGGAATTAAAAGAGAATTCAAAAATTAGGAATTAAAAGAGAATTCAAAAATTAGGAATTAAAATTACGAATATTACAAATATCTTCTACCGTGTTTAAGATACACAAATTTTCTCTCTACATACGTATTCCACTCAAAAATTTGTTTAAGAAAAACCTCCTCGCGTAATCGCTTTTTGAACAGCAAAATCCATGGCATAAAAGGGTTAAATGCTAAAAGACCAGACTCTAATCCTATACATTCCTTCTGATTTAGTAGTAGTTCTTGCTTCTCACTACTAGCTTCTCTGAGGGGCAGAAGGGAAGGAGCTACCATCCTGTACGCAATCTATGCAGAGTAGCTAATAAAGCCAATCCTTATAGTCGATTAATGAAATTATTAAACTAATTACACACACATAAGGATTAAAGCTTGTACTAATGAAAAAACGTAGATACAATAGTAGGTACGGTACCATATTAATTCAGCAAAACAGCATAGCAACATTGTTCAAGGTAGTCACATTTACAAGAAAGGTTTTGTACACTACTAATATTCCAAGTGAATCATGTCGCAATACCTTAGCATTTAAAACCTCCACAAGCAAAAAGCCAAACAATGATAATGAAAACTAAAATAGCACCTCCAACCATGAGCTTCATTTGAAGGTTCTGAAACCACATCTTGCGACGAAGCTGCCTACCTTGCCTCTGAAAGCTGTCAGCCTGAGCACATTCATATTTGCCACTATGCCAGTCAGCACAATCACAAAGGTTACTCTCAAGGCAAAGAGTCGGTAAAATAACACATACCTGGAACTGAAGGTTCTCAGTTTTATCCACTAGCAGTTCAATCTTCTCACCCCGATCCAAAACCTGCAACAGAAAATGTCTTTTAACCTAAATTCGACCAGAATCAGAAGCAAAGAATCTTACAAAGAAACAACTTTTTTTTGGATGATGGTGGTGTCAAGGCCAGCTTGCGTGTACCTCAACTATTCCACCGGGCACCTACTAACTCTCACATGCACAAGTACCGGGCAACCCTATCCAACAAAGCTGAGGCAGATGGAAAAGAAATCGCCTAGTATGTTTTGCCTCCGCTGGAATTTGAACCTAGACCTCATTGTTCTCCTCTCACTTTATTGACGTCTAGGCTACACCCCTGGGTGCTTTTACTAAGAAACGTAATTGAACTGACCGTAACAGTGATTTTTTAAGACAACCCCTAATTTTCCAGTTTACCTTTCTCAAAAACTTGATTCACATAATCATTACTTGATAATTTTTTCCTTCTTAAAATGTTAGCCAAAAGCAAAAAGAAAAATAGCCACTTCATATGGAGTGGTCGGAAACTAATCAAGCAAAAGCATACTATTAGTTCATTTCTAATTCTCCCAAAAAAAGGCAACCTCTTATTTTCAACTAACCACTCACCCTCTGTCCTGTGACTTCAACAGCATTCCTTATCACATAGAACCTAAAACCCATCATTATGAGGATATTTATCTATTAGTTCCATCACGATAATTTATGAAGTGAACCTATTAGTACCTCTATTTAAGCAATGAAGAAACTTGACGTTACTAGCACAGAAAAGACTGCAGTTTGCAATAACAGCTAAAGTAGGAAGGTAAAGCACATCTGGACATGGGAGCTGGTGTCTAGGAGTTGTGAACAATAGAGTCCAGAACAAGGTAGTGGACGCATGCCTTTACATAGTGTGACATTCTCAAACATGGGTTTGTTAGCATCATACAGGCAAAAGTGCAATTGGATAATAAGAAACTGGGTGGTCTGTCTGTGCACAGTAAACAACTAATTGGCTCTTCGCAAAGCCAGGCATTGAAAACGTGAATTATCCAAAGATATGAAAAAAATATTGCATACATACACCAAATGAGGTCTGAAATAGCTTTAGCATCAAAATCTGAAAACCCCCAATGGTGTAAGTTTCTCTGACCAGGTTTGTGTCACAAAAGCTTTAGCTCACTATTGATTGGGTGACCTTTTTGTTCTTCTCAACCCTTTTCAAAACTATTTTCTAATTTGATTCTACATCACTGGGGTATCTAATAACAAGGACACTAGAAATCCGTTCCTTGCATAATACATATGCAAATTGCAAAATACAGTAAAGAGAAGCTGAAGAAAATAAATTTGGAAAGGAAGAGAGCACAATTAGTTGGTGTCTGACAACTGCCCAAATGGACTCCAACTAATCTTACTGTTAAACAGACTAAGATTTAAAACACAACATAAAATTGGTGTTCAGCTTCCTAGGAGGTATCGGTTTCCAAAAGCAAACACATTCACTATTAAAAGTCAGCATTTAAGATGTTCAACTTTCCCTACGTACCCCCAATTTACAGTTTCTTCATACTTTTCAAAACCACTGAACTTATCAATGAAGTAACAGAAATCCGTAAACCCAAACACAATGTAGGTGGTAGAGCCACTGCACGTGCAACCTTGGGTGATTATGGGGCAAACCTCAACGTTCAATTTAGCTTAGGCAAGTCTCTCATTATTAAGATAGGTGGTGGGGAAATTCACAACTGAGCATAGGCGAATCCCAATCTCTAAGACAATGGTGGAAGACACTTAGTTTCTAAGGGGAGTGCATGTAAAATCCCAGGCAAATCCTACATTGATAAAACACAGAAGAGATGTTGGATATATAATAAAACAAATCTTAGACCATAGTGACGCATTCTAGAACCATGTGCGCCTATGTCCAGAGCAGACAATATCACTACTTGGTTGGATTGTTATAAAACATGAGACAAAATATAACTGTAACATCAATAACTAACCTTACTCAATATGTATAGCCTATATGCACCCTTAGTTTTCACTGTGTTATGTTATTGTTTAATGAAAAGGTAAAGATTTTACAAATAAAACAGCACTGAAATTTCCTGATGATGTACAACAAACTGTTACATAAAAGTATAGTCAAACTACCAGCTAGATTGTAGCTACTCCTGGCAATTACATGGAGTAATAATAAAACTACCAGCTCAAAGGAATTTCAAACTCTGAAGACTGTTTGAATTGGCAAGGAAATAAAATTGGTAAGTTCTCTGTTAGATCAGCTTATAAGGAATTCAGCCTCTCCATGAATCAGGTTGGTTGTTGGCCATGAAAACTGATTTGGAAAGTCAAAATTCCTTATAAAGTTGCTTGCTTTAGTTGGTTGTTGGCAAAGGAGGCAGTGTTGACCCGGGACAACCTAGTCAAGAGAGGATATCAATTATGCTCTAAATGCTACTTGTGTAGAGAGGAGGCAGAGACAATTAGTCATTTCTTTTTACACTGCAAGTTGACAGCTCAACTATGGAGAATTTTTATCAACTTAAGGGGCATTATGTGGACTATGCCAAGAAGAATTCATGAAGTTCTTGCATGCTGGAATAGAGATGGTAATTTGTCCAATCAGAAGGAGAGATGGAGGATTGTCATCTGGTGGAAAATTTGGGAAGAGAGAAACCAGAGATGTTTTGAAGAAAAGTATAATCATGTCCAGAAGAAAAAAATGAAGTGTCTACTGTTGTTCTACTTTTAGTGTAAAGGAAAACTGTTAGAAGAACATGAGTCTATTTTTGATGTTTTAGATTCCTTGTGAGAAGACCAAGGATTAGGAGTCTTTTTTCCTCTGCTATGTAATTATGGGTGACTCCACAGTTTTTGTGTAGTCTTTATATTAATATAATATACAATATGTTACCTTCTCAAAAAAAAAAAAAAAAAAATAC